AGCTTCTATGCTAGCTACCATTCCACCGAAAAGTATAGATGAGCATTGGTTGCAATTGCATGACGCCATGAAAATGGCGAGTACAGTCTGTTGTGGGTTCGAGAAACGTCTCGCTTATAAGCACTGGGTTTCTTCTGGTTCCTTACAACTCAATGAAGCCGGTCAGTCTACTCCGGGTTACCGTGAGTTTGACCACAAACGAAGGACGTTACGTACTGAAATTGGACAAAGCTCGCGTGAGGACCGAGAAGCCTGGTGGTTGGAGCGTGCTAACGAGCTGAAAGCAGCAGCTGCATCTGGTAATTACCGGAAGCTCTTCCAACTCATCCGAGACACTGGCAGTAAGAAGTCTGGTGTGAGCGAAACAATCTGCAAGGATAACGGGATGCCAATCACTAACATCCATCGACGTCTTGGATGATGGGCCGGATTCTTCGAAGGGCAGTTCAACTGGCCTGCTGCTCCAGCAACATCGGTCAAACTGTCCTGCCAACGATGACGTTCTGGAAACAGCTCTGATGGATGTAAGTAGTGGCGGTGTGTAACTGTTGCCTGGAGAAAGACTTCTCGACCTTGAGTGTGCGGATGATATTGTCTTACTGTGCGACGATACCCAGGCCATGCAATCCACACTTAATCAGTTGGCAATCAGTGTCCGTAGGTATGTTATGTGCTTTGCACCTTCGAAGTGCAAAGTATTTCTACAAGACTGGCAGAATTCTAATTTTGTACTCACTCTGGATGGTGAGCAGATAGAAGTAGTCGAGAAGTTCGTGTATTTGGGTAGCTGCAAAAGTGCTGGTGGTGGTGTGAGTGATGAGATCAATGCACGTATAGTGAAAGCCAGAGCGGCTTATGCCAATCTGGGCCATGTTTGGCGCCTTTATGATGTTAATCTGGCTGTAAAAGGTCGGATCTACAACGCATCGGTGAGAGCAGTTTTGCTCTATGCTTGTGCAACTTGGCCTCTCCGAGTTGAGGACGTTAGATGACTCTGTGTTCGATCATCGCTGTCTCCGAAGGATTGCTGACATCCAGTGGCAACACCATGTTAGTAATGCAGATGTTCGGCATCGTGTGTCCGGGCACAGAGACGATAATGCAATTGGTGTCACCATCTTGAAACACCGACTTCGGTGGCTTGGGCATGTTCTACGAATGTCGTCCCAGAGAATTCCACGTCGTGCATTATTTGCCAACGCTGGGACTGGTTGGAAAAAGCGGAGATGTGGTCAGTGTATGACATGGTGTCGTGGTATGAAAGAGAGCTGTACAGGACTGGCTTGTGTTGGTCCTTCGCGACTCCTTGGTTGGAGTCATAGAGATGGTGCGACAAAGTGGTTCAGGACGTTATCAGATATGGCTCAGAATAGAAGCCAGTGGCGATCCTGCTGTATCCTTCCTAAATGTAATATTTCTTCTGAGTGAACTTTTTCGTCTCCCCCTATTATTGTTCTTTTTTTAATTTTATAATCCCCTACGTTCCTTACTTTTTTTCCCTTCTTAAATTCTCATTGTTTTGTGTGGCGCACATATATTTGGTGCCTCCTTGTATCAATATTTATGTGTTCAAATAAATAAAATAAAAATAGTGAAGTAGTTTCCGTCTTCATCACATGCACGATTGAGTGATTAAGATTCAATAATTGGGAGATGCTTTTGAGAGATTCAGTATGATTGGGGAACGGCAGTGTCCATCTACCAACTCCGGCTGTTGTTATTGTGGAGTGACTGCCGGGTAAATGAGGAAGATCGGTCATGGAGCAAGCATCCTCATCCCGTAGGAAACAACCTTGCTAAAAAAAACGCTAACCACAAAAAACAACTTGAACTCTGTCCTGGAAGTTGAAGGAGGAATCTTGATGCCTCATGGTGAAAGCCGGGATTCTTCCGAAGTCATGAGGACAATGTCACTTCTAACAATCACAGCAACAACTAATGTAAGTTCATGGAATGTTCGGACAATGTGAAACCGAAAGGAGCAACCAAATAGCTGCAGAAATGAGGAAATACAACTTGGCAGTACTCGGAATCAGCGAAACCCATTGAACCCAATCTGGTCGGGAGAGTATGGATTGGGGAGATGCTGCTGTACTCTGGTCACGAAGAAGAAAATGTTCCGAACGCCCAGGGAGTTGCTCTGATGCTGTCCAACGAAGCACTTAATGGATGGGAATCTCGTGGATCCAGAGTCATCAAGAAAGGAGGGGATCACATTAAATGTTATGCAAAGTTATGCACCCACCAATGATAGCAACAACAACGATAAATATCGGTTTGACGAGAGGCTGCAATCAATCACAACGAAATGCTCAGGAATGAACCTGAACATCCCGATAAAAGACCTAAACTCTTAAGTCGAAGTGTGCAGCACCGGGTATGGTAATATGCGACGAGTTGGACTGACTGAGAAAAAGAAACGAGAATGGTAAGACTTGCAGGTTTATGTGCATTCAACTAAGTGGATATAGACGGCACTACATTCCCCCACAAACGCATTCACGAAGCTATATGGGTCACACTACAGAGAAACAAACCAATCATATTTATATCACCAGAAAAGCTAGTCATTGGAAGACAAGAAAACTTAGGAAGCTACTAACATTAATCCAGACCACCACCTGGTGTTTGGCAAGATGGCACTGATATACTCAAAGGATTGAAGATAGTTCTCAACAATAGATTCCAGACCTTACAGGATCTGAGAGAACAATAAACTACTATGAAGGACAAATGAAAAGGCGCTAGAGAAGCACTGACTTCAACGTGCCGGGAGGTTCTGCGTTGCAAGAAGCATCATGATAAGGAAAAGATAAGTAACTTATAATGAAAATGATTGTAGGCCTCGTTTTTTTGTCAAGGAAATTCATTTTGTGCATACCAACGAACAGCACTCTTGATTTTGCCCAAATTTAGTATTACGGTTAACTGATTCTGAGTCGGAGTTGATTGTTTCAATGTCTCAGTTTTGTCCTTTAAACGTTTATAATAAATTTCTACTTATCTCACGAACGACATTTACTTTGTTTTTCCTGCCACTTTGGTTATGTCAGCTGCCTTAATAATGCATTTCTCCCTTTGATTCTATTGCTTGAAGTGAAGTGAAGTGTGCGGTTTTTTATTTTGGATGAAACCGCACTCTCAGAAATGGAACATTCATTGTTGTAACAAAGATTAATATCATATTTTGATCAGAACTGCACGTGATCTATACAGAAAGGATAGAAAAATACTTCTGTATTGCTTGTTTTTTGAAACATTCTATTATTTAGGTTGTTTGGACAATTATTGTTTGAATAACCAGGTGGTAATATTTATTTGGGACCGTCCCTTACCTAACTACTTTGATTTTTGAATCTTGACTTGGCAAGTATCCGTACTAACCACATTTATTACTATTACCAAATCAATTTAGTTTCGAATAAATAATATACATGAAACAAAACAATAAATTACCCAGAACTAACTGAAGACCTTTAGGAAAATGGTAATTTACACAATGAATTCGTAGAATTTTCGAAGTATATTTTAAATCTCATCGGCATTTATAACCCGTTCAGAACACGGTATTGTAGAGCTTATGTATTTTTGCTTTCACTCATGACTTCTTATATACACTCGTTTCTTTCTACCAGGAGAAAGTTACATACTGACTGCGTTATGATATATCTAATTACGACCCAGTTACTTTTGTAAAATTCTGGTCTAGGTTCATATTAATACGCCTATCAATGCTACTCGGACAATAGATATATGCCACAATTTTAGATTTGCGATGTAACTATTTAATTCATTGGATCATAGTGGGAGTCTTATCACTATCTATACCGACTCCTACTATCATAACAGTTAGTGGTTGCCGTTAAAGAATTCTGAGGAATACTTATCAGCCGTGAAGAAAATAATATGTTTTATACGAAGAGCAAGGGGTTACATAGAGTGACTACACCTCAATGGTCGGTTCAGGCTATAGCGTTTAAGCCTTCCGAGTTTATTTATGGTCCATTCCAAGTGTTGAGTGTTAAATGTGAATCTCAATTATGATATTTTCTGCCTTAAAAATCGCATGGTTTAAAATACATATTTCTATACTTTTATTGTTTAATATTCTTGGACACCTCAAGTCACTCCGAAAGTCTTTAAATCAGAATAGGATAGTTACTATATTCCAAAAAACAAGAATTGCGATAAGAGAGGCGTTAATGTTTTTATGCCCTTATACAAGAGGATTCTAAAGCCTTCTCCAAGTGTCCATTATCTCTGAGTGGCTTTGAAATGGCTAATCGGCGTTCTCCAACACAATTTTGCGCAGAACGTGCTTTAATCCAAGGTATATGTCGCTAACAGAGTGATTGATAAAATAACACCTGATAGTATTTTGTAAGATTATGAGTGCCTGCCCATAATCATTTTCGTAAGGATATAGAGACAATCATTATATACCTTGTCAACTGTCTTTAACGCTACTCACAACAGCAAAGACTCTTCAAAAGTCCAATAAATAATAATAGGGAGCAGTAAGAAATAATAGGTAATACGCAGAAACTCACAAATCGTAAAAGTAAATGTCGAGTAACTTTATGGGACGCATCTCTTTTATATCAGACTGAAAACGTTCTCTAATACTAATTATATATGCAAACACGAAGATAGAAGCTGGGAATGCTATTAGCGAACGACTAGTGCTTTCAGGTGTCTGGATGAACTTGGTGTGTTTATTGTATAAAGTGTTGCTTATTACGAAAATGTGACCAGTTGTAAGGGATCTTGAAGCAAGTGATATTTTAAGTTGTGGATGCAATAAATCTTTTAATAGAAATATTCTGGATTAAGAAATGCATCCCGTAATAAAAGCAACATCAAATGGACTATATCAGTTTGGTTAACTATGGGGACAACCTGTATCCTTTAGTTTCCGACTTCACAGAGAGATAGAAACGACATCTACTTTTTTTTACTGAAAGTTGTTCCCTTTGCTGTTGAATTTGTTTCTATAGGAGTAGATAAGAACTACGAGATGAATTCTGTCGAATAAACCAACAGAATGTAAACTAAAGCAAATTCATTGAGTGACGTCGCAAGACAAGAACTCTACTGGGAGCACTTGATAGCAAAAATATTTTTGCTTTTGTCTTGTTATGTTATTCTTATCACACTTTGGAGTTTTCCTTTTAGAAATTAGAATTCCGCAACTGTATTCCTGTGGTGTTTGAATGAACTAATGACTCCTTTGTACTTGTTGAATGTTTGATTTCGAATTCTAAATACAGTACATTCGTTAGTGCTTGTGTAGTACTTCTTGATTCAATTACGTTATCCCTGGGATTATTAGTTCATACTATAATTCAAATACTTCTAATTATCATATTGGAGTCGCGATGGGGCCTGCGATGGAACAGTTAGATATTCATTCAACTTCTGAAGCTTTTGAGGATTATTTGGAAAGGTTTGAAATTTGGAGCATGACCAAGAAGGATGTTAAAGGTGATAAAATTGTGGCACATTTCCTGACATTCATCGGAAAAGAAGCATACAGCTTATTGAAAACTTTGGCATATCCAGAAAAACCTATCTCACTTCCTTATGCAACTATTAAGGAGTTATTATTAAATCATGTAAAGTGCATTAGTTTCGAATGCCGTGAAAGGGCTAAATTTCATAAGATGACTCGTCAAAATGACTAAAAGGTTAAGGAATTCATTCTTGAATTGCAGAAACAAGCTGCCAAATGTAATTTTGGTGATCAACTTCATGTGCAACTGAGAGATCGATTAATTGCAGGAATTAACTTGCCAGGTTTGGAAAGAGAGCTGTTAAGAATGCCGAACTGTTCCTTTCAAGATGCTAGAACTGCGTGTATTAACTACGAGGCAGTGAATGAACTTGATATCCAGTCGATGAATATTTCTAATACTTTGCTTAGTCGTCATGATGAAATACAATCTCAGAGTCAATCAAAGTTGCGTTCGTTTAACAGTGGTTCCTATTCTCGTGTAAATATGAAAGATATCTCAACAAGGAATTACAAAGGAAATCACAAAGGTGAGACCAATTTTGGCAAATGTTTATCATGTGGAAAAATTCATTCTCGTAATTCATGTGCACTTCGTAATGCTAAATGTTTTAGATGTGGTAAGATAGGACACATTCAATCAGTATGCAAAGCTACTATTCATTTTGCCTCAAGTAGTACTAAATCTTGTAATTTAGATCCCAGTGATTCAGCTGTTCCTAATGATCATTTATCTTTGTCTACTGTTTCGAAAGGTAATGCTCATATTCAAAAGCGATTATATATATCGCTTCGTTCGTGTCATGACTTTATTGTTGACACAGGCAGTATAGAGTCCATTATTTCATTCAAGAACTTGAAATCTTTAGATCCTAATGTTGTGGTACAACCCACTGAGGTATCAATATTGGGGATTACTGGACACAGACTGCCTATACTAGGATGTTGTGAGTTGCTAATAAGAGATGATAATTCTTCGTACATACCTTGTGAATTTTTAGTTAGCGAAACAGGATTGTCAATACTGGGCTTAAGGAATTTGAAAAGGCTTAAAGTGGAGCTGTCTTTCCTAGTTTCTAAAGAAAACAATGATGCTTTACTTAAAGATTTGATAGCCACGTGTGCTAAGTGCAGTGGAGGTATGAAGATTCAGCCTATAAAACTTCAAGTACAGGGTGAACCAGTATTTCTTAAAAGACGAATAATTCCTTATGGTCTTCGAGAGGCAGTACATAAAACATTAAACGATTTGTGTGCGAAAGGCATAATTGAACTGATCCAGTCCTCAGCATGGGGTACTCCTATTGTTACGCCACTGAAGTCGGATGGCAAAACCCCTAGAATATGTGGTGATTATAGATTAACACTGAATTCCCGTTTGTTGAAGCAAACGTGCACGACGGTAGAGGCTGAAGATATTCTAAATCGACTTCATGGTTCTGAAGTGTTCTCGAAAGTTGACCTAAAAGATGCTTATCTCCAAATCCCTTTAGATCAATCTTCATCTCTTTTGACGACAATTAATACTCCTTTTGGTCTGTTTAAATACAATTTCCTTCCATTTGGTCTAAGTTGTTCTCCAGCTATATTTCAGGAAGTCATGAATAGTGTAGTTGGTGATCTTGAGGGCGTTGAAGTTTATCAAGATGATCTCATTGTCCATGGTTCTGATAAGGTAGTTCATAACCAGAGACTTATTGCTTTATTGCGTCGTTTAATTGAGAAGAATATTACAGTGAATCCAAATAAGTGTTCATTTTGTGTATCTAATTTTGAATGTCTTGGATACCTAGTTGATGGTAATGGTTTTAGACCATATATGAAACGACTAGCTCCACTGACAAATGCACCGTCTCCAAAAAATCTTACGGAACTACGTTCACTAGTGGGTGCTCTTCAATACTATTCCCGTTTTATTCCTAATTTTTCTTGTCGTGCAAATTGTTTATTTAATATTTTGACATCCAATTCATTTAAATGGGGTGAGGAACAAGAGTCATGCTTACGTAGTCTACTAAAGTTTCTTCAAAGTGATGCTGTTCTTCGAACTTACTCCCCTAGTGTACAGTCTGTACTTATCACTGATGCATCACCTGTGGGTATTGGCGCAGTTTTGGAACAGGAGGGTAGACCAGTTATTTGTGTTTCACGCAAACTTACTGTTACTGAACAAGGTTATCCACAGACTCAGCGAGAAGAACTAGCTGTGTATTGGGCTGTTAAAAGACTCCATAATTATTTATTCGGAAAGAAATTCACTATTGTTACTGATCATGAGGCTTTAAAGTTTATTTATCATCCTGAAAAATCCTTAGCACGTTCCTCAGCTGCTATAGTTTAACGATGGAGTATTGCTTTGAGTGCCTATGACTATACGGTTCAGCACAGGAGTGCCAAACAAATTCAACATGTTGACTACATTTCTCGACAGCCATTACAAGATAAACCTGTTAATACTTCAGACTGTTTGTTAGTGCAACCTTTACCAGTGAAACGTCCAGATCTCATTAGAGAAACTCGTAAATACTTTGGATGTATAATTAATGCTATACGAAAAGGTTGGAATGCTAATTTGAAACGTAGATTTCCTATCTATTTTTCAAAGCGGGATGAGCTATCTACTACTCCTGATGGTATTTTGTGTTTAAATGATCGTGTTGTTATTCCTCCTTCATTGCGTAAATCTGTCCTAGAAGATCTTCATAGTAGACATTTAGGTGTTGAAAAAATGAAGTCATTGGCGAGGCTCACATGTTGGTGGCCAGAGATAAATGCAGATATTTGTCTTACAGCAAACAATTGTGAAAAGTGTCATAAGCTGAAAAATCAGCATTCGAAGTGGACTCCATGGCCAGTATCGTCTGAGGCCTGGCAGAGAATTCATGCAGACTATTGTGGTCCGTTTCTTGGCAAATACTATGCGCTTGTAGTTATTGATTCTTTTTCAAAGTGGCCTGAAGTATTTTCACAACTTCACCAAATTCTGACTTCACAATTCAGGCATTAAGAAAGGTGTTTAGTCGAGAAGGGGTTCCAATGGTGTTAGTAGCTGATAACGGCTCTCATTTTGCTGCAGATGCAGTTGTAGAATTATGGTCTACTATGATATTAGCACTGCTCTAATAATAGACCTAATCCTAAAATTGTAGATTTATCATGATGTAACTGCCTAATCTATAAGATCTTACGTGGAAGTTACATCATCGCCTACACCAATTCATTGCATTGTAACAATTACCAATACGTGATAGAGAACAAGCTTAGGCTAGAGATGGAACAATATATTTAATATGAATAAAAGACATAACGTAACATTTAGCAGGAGGGACCACGCCTGCATGGTTGAGCCATGCCGTAAGATTAACTCGTATTAACTCAATTCACTGTTCCCGCCTTTCTTCATTGTTCGGTATTTCCCAGCGTTTAATGTTGAATGTCTATTTTCCAGTTTGTCTCGTGTTACGGCTCGATGCCACTACACAGTCACTACCTGGTTAAATGGTATAGGGTGCAAACATCTGTTTACTGCTCCCAGACATCCTTGTTCCAATGGTCAGGCAGAAAATTTTGTCAGGACGTTAAAAACTGCCATTGATTCTATTGCTGCCTCAACATTTAATGAGCTGGAGAGGGGAGTATATACCTTTCTACTGCAATATAGAAATGCCAGACATTCGGTGACGAAAGAGACTCCATCAAAACTATTAAAAGGAAGAATTCTTCGGTCGAATATGAGATGTTTGGAGTCTGCAGAAGTTACGTATTATCGTGGCAATGATCTTTGACCATCCACGGGGATTGTTCTGAAGAATGTCGGGAAATCTCTGGTGCGACTTCTAGATATCAATGACTTAAGTACACACAATCGACATGTTGATCAAATACAATTCCAGCAACCAGGTGAGTCTGTTCCGATTTCAGTTGTTAATTCTAATACTAATGAGTGCATTCTAGATAATACAGAGTATCCAATACATTGTCGGACAGACACAGCATGAACTTGAGGAGAAGACGTACAATTGATTACAGACACTTAGACTCTAATTTAAGCTGTGGCGGATGTGGTGTTTGAATGAACTAATGACTCCTTTGTACTTGTTGAATGTTTGATTTCGAATTCTAAATACAGTACATTCGTTAGTGCTTGTGTAGTACTTCTTGATTCAATTACGTTATCCCTGGGATTATTAGTTCATACTATAATTCAAATACTTCTAATTATCATAATTCCGTTCTGGAAGCACATTCATAGCACGTTACATTTTGTAATTACTTCCGATGTGGAGGTAGCTTTTTCGATAGATAACCCGCTTTAATCTACACATCGATGACGTGTCACTATTTTCTAAATTCACCACTTAGGCGCTTCCTAAATTCAGTAAGACTTACGTAGTCAACGTGCTATTTCTACATAGATATACCATTTGTGCGTACCACGGTCTGATAAGGACTTTATTAGAGCAAAAACATTATTGTTTCATGAAAAATCCGATGCGGCATTTGTGAAATGTGAGAAAAATATATTGAATACACTACCACTCAATAGCCACATCGTTCTTTTATTCCTGTTGCTTCTCAAACTGCTCATGTTTCAATTCTGTCAGCAAGGATTCTACTTCCGGTTTCCGATACATATTATTTATGTCCGGATAAGTGGCACACACAACTGAAGTCATGATAGCGTTGAATACTTATTCGTATTCACTAAAGGTCTATTTCTCTTAACTTTTAGAACGTCGACTCTCACTTAGTAAATTACATTGCACTGGCCGATACTAAGTACCAGGTAAAGTGTAATTTTCTACTTAATGGAAAATTCGAACGTTAGCTTACGTGACTCTCACCAATTTACTGTAACTGTTGAAAGTGTCAGGTGTCCAAACCACTATGAGTCATATGTCATAAGAAATAATCGTACACTCTCTTTAACTTCACAATGTTCCAAGTCCCACATCAGACCAAAAACTGTCGTTTAACTGAGAGGCGATTATTTCTGTTCACCTGCTTTATATATTCGATGCTATTAAATGTCAGTTCTTTAAACGTTACTTCATATCTAAGTGATATATCTTTTGTCGATGAACTCACAGTGTTTGTTCCACGGAGATCTGTTTTCACCAGGGTTCCTCCCTAATGTCCCTCATATGTCTATCTTCGTCGAATGTGGTCAAGTATCGCATGCGATATAGCTGATGGTTAACCGTTAAAGATCTTTGATGTGTGCAGAAGTTTGAAGATTAGTAAATTTTTATCTCATGTAGTTAGTTCTTTTGCTTTCTGAAGTTGGTAGAAATATTCGATAAATCGTTATCGATTTTCAGTATTGCACATATGCAAACCAACCTTTGCACTTCGTAGTAAATAAGTACTCTAATTTTCCCCGTTGGTGGGACATCGGTACGCATATTAACCCTCCATCCAGTTGATACACAAAGACTGTAGTGTGGTTGTAGTGCGCTTATTACCATAATGCCACGGATACTTGAAGCGCGGGGTCCTTATTTAAGCACATAAGCCCTTCACAAAATGGGGGATTAGAAAAATATTTTATCTACCACCTAACTTATACCACTGTATAACTGCTTCAGGAACTGATTAATATGAAGAATTCCATTAAAATCAGTAGGTCATAGGCAGTGTTGCTTGTTGAGTAAAATAAAATCACGTGCAAACTACGGAACCGAAGCAGAAAAAACTACACACTACTGCAAAGTCCGCTAATTCTCATGGGTAAGCAACAAATTTCAAAGACCTGAATACAAATGTCAATTCTATTACTGCCACAAAGTTCAAGAACCTGGAGATGAAAGCGGATAAGGTCCCTCAGTGCTGAACTAGTCTCAGGTACGCAAAAAAACAAGGACGAAATTGCTTAAACAAAAGAATCTCCGCGCAAGATCTTTACCTCAATCCATGGAAGGTCTGCTAAAACAGGTCAGTGAATCTGTGGTTCGTACGCGAGCAAATCACAACAACCGAATGTGGTACAAGGAACCGTGCGAACCTGCTTCAATTTCAGTTGTTAATTTTAACGTTGATGAGTGCATTCTAGATCATACGGAATCTACATTCAACACACGATCAGTAAGACACATAATGATCGAAAGGCGAGGGAATTAAATGTAATACAGGAATTTGGATTTCAATTAAAACTGTGTTAGTTGTGGTATTTGTGTGAACTAATGATTTCTTTATATTTGACCGTCTTCTGATCGCGGATTACAAATAAAGTCCTTTCATTTGTCCTCATCTAATTCTATCTGACTTTAATTGCATTATTTCAAGAATTCTTAGTTAGTGTATTTATTCGAATATTTCCAATTATCATAGGAACTCTTCTCAAAACTTTGAGTTGCTACTTAAGACGTGGGGAAAACTATTCGTTTTGTAACTTGTTCAGGTCACATTATCTCGTCTGTATAGTCATATTTCACAGCCGTACTGATCTCGTACTTAAGGTTCAGGATTTAGGCGAAGATTATATTGTTTATCTGCAAGTATTGTATAATTTAAATACCTCCGCCTGTGTCTCTTCTAGGGTTGCTGCCTGACCCAAGCCCGGATAAAGGAAGTGGGGTTGGGTGTGTGGTAGGCAACGCCTTCCTGAAGAAAAACATTTCGCTAAAGTATGCTAACCAGATTAAACAAGATAAATCATTTAAAGTCTACCATGGGATTTGAAGGAAGAACCATGACGCCTGATTTCGAAAGCCAAGATTCTTGGAAATTCACTCGATCGAGGCATCTCTGATGAATTCTTGAATAGGCCAGCTCCGTTGAATCCGCTAGACATCGAAGCAGCATCTACGAACTTTCCTATAGATGTCACTTCACCAACAGTCGGAGAAGTCGGGATGAACATCAGGCAGATCAGGTATGGAAAAGCATCAGGACCTGACATTACACCAGCCAAAGCACTAAGGTCAGACATAGAAGTAACTGCAAGCATACTCCATATTCTATCAAGGGAAATTTGTGAGAAGGGACAAGCGCCGACGGACTGGAAAGAAGGATGTCTCATCCAGGTACCAAAGAAAGGAGATCTGAGCAAATGTGAAAACTAAAGAGACACCAAACTACTATCGGTACTGCAGAAAGCTTCCAACAGTGTTGCTGAACTGGGTGAAAGATTCAGTGGACGTCGAGCTTCGTGATCGACAGCTCGGAATCCGTAAGGATCGGTCGTGCACAGACCAGATCGCGCCACTACAGATCATCGCTGAACAATCAATCCGATGGAATTGGTCACTATACATCAACTTTATTAGCTATAGGAAGGTGTTTGACAATGTGGATAGGAGGAACTTGTGGGAGCTTTCTTCGACTCTATGGTATACATATGAGAAGCGTCAACATCATCCGGAATTCACATAGTGGACTACACTACAATGTGGTGCATGGTGAGCAGCTGAGAACCAGAGTCAGACAAGCCTGCTTACTCTCGTATTTGCTCTTTTTCCCGGTAGTTGACTGGATTAGGAAGACCTAGTCATCTGAGGGGAAGTACGGAATATAATGGACAATGCGGATTGAAGTAGACGATTTGGACGTCGCAGATGACCTGGCCCTTCTATACCATACACATAAAAAATGCAGGTCAAGACAAGCAATGAACCAGCAGCATCTGCATCAGTAGGCCCCAACATAAACCAGGGAAGAAACAAGATCGTTAAATTCAGCACGGAGAACGCTAACGCAGAACGGGGTTGGATGGAGAGTGCTGGTGGGCAGCCTGTGGTCCTCCACGAAAGTTAACGGGCGTAAATGGGCTAGTAAATCTCGAAATCGAAGCGAATTCTTTAGATGATTCCAAGATGCCACAGATATTCTGGGATTGAAAGCGCTGTTTTTCATGGCACCCTTACTACTGAGAATCTATAAGTCAGTTAAAGCAGAAGTCAGAGACGGAATTATATATATATATATATATATATATATATATATCGTCCATAGCAGCTGCACACTAATTTAACAGACAGCCAAACATTTTCAATTGCAATTTACGGACAGGATACAACTTAGGTAAGTTTATTTAACCGATAAAGGAAGTGAGAATAAATGACAGAATGTCCATTGAGATATACAAGTAGGGTAATAGCTGTATCTAGATATTTTTAGGTATATTTGTAAGATAGCTGATGCGTCGAGAAGTTTGTAGTCTAAACTTATAAGTGTTTGTGAGGGATGCGTAACCCGATGTACCTAGTTTTGATCCATATTTCTTATTTTACTTTTACCACCTCTTCTTGTGTTTGGATAATTAAAGCAATCCCAAACTATTTCTACTATTCCAAGGCTCCCTTTTCATTCCACGATATAGCTAGATATCAACACGTTCGTCCTGATACATGTTCCTACTACGAGTATGGAAATATATAGATTACGTCTATAAATCACTAGGACTCTATAAATTAATTGGAGATGATAGATCACAGACAGAAACACAGTGTTAGAATAACAGTGAACAAAGGGCAGTAGGATATGTAATTTCCACAAAAAGAAGGAAGTAAACACTTCTCAATCTATTTTCTAACCATTTGTTTCCAAATATATTTCATATTACTTGATTCCTTATGTTAGCATTTTACGGGTGTGTCGTAAAACGATCCTAATTAAACCGAAGATAAAAGTGTAAGCATAAATCCATGATTGCTAAAAGAACAAATTCAATGGTGATAAAAAGACCCTAAATACAACAGTCAAGTGTTGTAAAGTTATCAGTCGATATGAGCGACGATTCTAATTCTTTAACAAGCTACCATTCAATTGTAAAAATGTTCCATGATAACACTGGTGCTGTATAAAGCTTTATTGATATAAACACCAGTTTATTCATATGCTTTCTTCCCTTACTGATATGGTCCGTTTCGAAGGCGTTATCGGCATCTGCGAGCCTTATTATTCTAATTATCTTGCATTTAAAGGCAAGATAGTTTACTTCTCAGTAGGTTGCGAACTCGTAACGTATCCATCTCGTAGATCTATCTGAAAGTTAGTCTTATCTTAGGCCCCACATTTATCCTACCATCGGAATTTATTCGGTTATTTTTAAGTCAAAACTGAAAATACGATATTATAAGGTCTAAAACTTTTATCAAACATGTGGTGTTCAATGCTATTAGATTTAATACCCAAGGTGTACAAAATAACTTTGGTATACAGTATATTTATAGAACAAAAAGTATATTGAACCTCTGAATTTTTCAATCCGAATCACATGTGTTTGTTCTTTTGTTTCCAAAAACGATCTGAATCCAAGGCGGTTAGTCGTAATGCCAGACAAACGTGGTTTGGCTGTGCAGAATGTAGAAGAACTGGTTAGTGGGATGTCTCAATATTTGACGGAAATTTTTCTAGGACGTTTCAAAACTAACTGCCTTATCGCCAGAGGTCATCAGTCGTCAGGCTACTATAAACATCGGTACTATAGGCCATGTCGCCCACGGGAAGACAACAGTTGTGCGTGCAATTTCCACAGTGCATACCATTAGGCACAAAAATGAATTGATCAGGAACATCACAATAAAGCTGGGATATGCTAATGCCAAGATATACAAATGCAATAGTGAAGCATGCATACGTCCTGCTTGTTATCGGTCATTCGGAAGTGCAACAGATGATTCCCTTCCCTGTCCTAGATCAGGATGTGATGGGACACTAACATTGCTGAGGTAATTTGAATAATTATTTGTCTGTCGTAGTGACTGCTAATGTTTTCCGATAAATACTGTTCATTCTTTGCAGAGCTTCCTTAAATCGCGCTGATTCTTGAGTTCGTATCATTCATTTTGCCACTCGCGAACAAAATCACACTTGTGTTGCCGAGTTATTCGGATCCCCCAAATGTCCTGAAAACGCTTTAGTCATAGTTTTGTTTACTCACTGTGTAATTTGTTATGAAACCAACAGCCTAACATTTTAAAAACAAGGGACCTAGTCAAAACTTCTACTTAGCCTCCCTTTCATTCTGCAATGCCCTATTCTATACTACTCTAGTCGTTTTTACATGTCTTAGAGATCACGTGATCTAAATTCACCTTTGTAAATACTCTGGGATGGTACCAATTACATTTACTACCATGTGTTAACCTCAAGTTCAGCTATGGGGAAAGTCCATTGTTCTGTTATAACAGCAAGTAAACGAGTCATGTTACTTCTGGAATTGAATTTTCGACATAATAGTTTGCATTACATCGTTACACTGTTCAGGCTATTTAATAAAGTCTTTAATTCAGCTTTTTTAATGTGCAATGTAGTCCCGAACTTCATTTAAATTATCTCACTTCACACAGGTTATCTTTGTCAGCAAATAGTTTACTACGTTCCTCACTGTCTTGTGAACAATATTGGCACTCGAAAGTTTATGTTTAAAAGTAGGGTTTTAGTTGATTTAAGACCGAGTAACCATGTTAAGTTCCTCAATCACCTATTACACTTACCATTTATATTTTGTGCTCCTATTCTGTGCATAAGCAGCTTATTTCACTGTTAAAATCTCATCTAGCTGGTAGTCTTTAATTTGTACAGTATCGTAATCAGCCGTCTCTAGACCGCTATATATCATTAGGCTCATCTACTGATTTGCATCCTATTAATTAATTTTAAGAGCTAAAAACCTTGTCGAATAAAATCGTGAGAACCTCCGTAACGAGTGTGTATGAGATTTTCTATTTTATAACCCCAATGTTTTTTTTTTAACTAGGCATGTTTCGTTTGTGGATTGTCCAGGTCATGATATTTTAATGGCAACTATGTTAAACGGTGCTGCTGTTATGGACGCAGCATTATTGTTGATAGCCAGCAATGAGACATGCCCCCAGCCCCAAACAAGTGAGCACCTCGCTGCTGTAGAGATCATGCAGTTGAAATACATAATTATTCTTCAAAATAAGATTGACTTAATCAAGGAAAGTCAGGCTCGCGAACAGTATTCACAGGTAAGTCTTGACAAACCGGGTAAAATTCCTCCATCCAATTTTGTATTATGTCCTGATTTTTGCAATAACTTATGTATGGTGGGGAACCCTTGTTCTGTAAGTTGGCTTATGCACTTTAGCATGTGTCAACATTTCGGCCTCGAAAGTTAGGTGGTTGATGTCTATAAGACCTGATTTTTGTAAATAATACCACACTAAAAAGTCAGGTTGTTTTGTATCGTCAACTTGATTATCAGTTGGTGTTTTACTCTTTTGCGCTATGCTTTTGGGTTGACATGTGTTTCAGAACGTGATATACCTATTTCGGGGAATGTTTATCAAATAAGCATAAGTTCTGGACAAAACAAACCAATTACTGTTGTGTGATTGGAAAGTTCTCAGAGAATTTCAGGAGTTGTAGTTGTGTAGAAGTGTCGCGGATTCTTACTAGACGGTGTTTATGGTCCAAACCGTGCTGGTTATCTCGACTGAAAAGATGTACTTGTGTATTGATCACATTTATATTCCTTTTTTAGATTTTACGTTTTATCCAGGGTACTGTTGCTCAAGGAGCTCCAGTTGTACCTATCTCAGCACAATTGAAGTATAATATTGATGTTGTTTGTGATTACATTGTGAATCACATTCCGGTTCCAGTACGGGATTTTACATCAGCACCTCGTTTGATTGGTGAGTCGTTTGTTTTGTATGTAACAAACAAGTTTAAGTGTATATTGAATCAGAGGTTATGGTTAGCTATATGGTGTCTGATTTCTTTACTTGCAGTTATTCGATCATTTGATGTAAACAAACCTGGTTGCGAAGTGGATGATCTACAAGGTGGAGTAGCTGGAGGGAGCATTTTGCGAGGGGTTCTAAAGGTAGTTTATTGTGATATATGCTTGATTTACCTTAATCACTTATTTTGTGTTCTGACTCTTGTTAGATAATGTATTTCGACAATTTTTCTTAGTATCTCCGTATAATCCCTAATTTTTGTTCAATTGTCTTATGTAACATTTTCCAACAGGTTGGGCAAAAAATAGAAATTAGACCAGGTCTCGTTTCAAAAGATTCGGAGACTGGGGGCGTTACTTGTAGACCCATTATTTCATGTATTGTGTCACTTTTCGCGGAGCAGAATGACCTTGCTTATGCTGTTCCAGGAGGTTTAATTGGAGTTGGGACAAAGATCGATCCACAGTTGTGTCGCGCTGATCGTTTGGTTGGACATGTTTTAGGACAGGTTGGCACCTTGCCTGACATATATGTGGAGTTGGAAATATCATTCTTTCTTCTACGACGTTTGTTAGGTGTTCGCACAGAAGGGGACCAAAAAGGTGCTAAGGCAAGTAGTCTATTGTTCTATTTCACTCATGATTTTCTTACATCCAATAATGCGTCTAAAAGTTTTAAAACTTAGAAACAATTTCTATCGCTAACTGACAACTAACGAACTGCTTAAAGCTAAGTATCACTTGGCCTTTTTTCTGTGTTTGGGAATCTTCACCAATATGGGCTTAATTCTGTGACCCTTAATTTATATAAAATGAAACCTTTTAATACAATACTACCATAAATTCACTGCGCAATGTGAAAGAAATAGTAACAGTCTTGTAACTGGTCAATAAATGGATGAGATTGATGTTTAGTTTGTGAAAAAAACTAAGGTAGATTTTGTTTAGTTCAGAGATACATAGTTCATGTAAAACTCGATAGAAAACTAACAGAATCATCACTTAATTCTATTAAGAATCATATCTGATGGCGTGTGAACCAATTCAGTTGGTCGATCTCTGGGACTCTACCCAAGTTGTAATAGGCTAGCCGCTTTCATTCACTCCACAGCTCTATTTCATAAGCTAACCACGTATTCGCTATCCACATTGTTCTAGGATCGGCAATCAATACATAGCACAGATGCCGCTAGGATGACAACCTTGCTGAGATGACGACAGTCAAAAACAAAAGAAACTTTGACCTGTGTATTATTGCAGAGTAAAACAATATCGGTTTATTCGAAGTTAATAAGTCCTTATTTAGGTAACAGATCTCCCACGCCACACTACACTTCGATCTATCGACTTCGTTCAACCCCGCTGTTGGATTAAAAGTGGAAAGGAATGGTTCTTTTTCTCACCTTATCTGAGTGAGTTTTCTACTAAACTTTTGAGATGTGAATAAACCTATGGTCTTCAACACGCACTCCTTGAGGATAATCCTATTCAGTGGGTCGATGACGATCGTGGTATGAAAATTATATTTGTAGATTGTCAAGCCACATTTCAACGTCCTCGATGTACTGTAACACTTAACTAATAATGACAGTGTGCAACACTATTCACACTCAACAATGTTTTCTTTGGTGGTCTATTTTGTAAAAATGGATTACCATTTAATTGTGGTTGACTCTTAGTGAATAAATATTGGACCACACGTTTGACTCCACTGCCTTATAAAAGGTTTCTCATCATAGTTTGTTATCTATAATTATTGCCTTCTTTAGACATATTTTTCCTCTTTTGTTTTGTAAACTAATAAGTTTCAATTCGCCTTTAAATAACTGTCGGAGTCTGTTCGGTACTACCACATTTTAATTTTCTCAGCAAACTTTTTAACTTCTTTATCATCCTGAAACGTTATAATAAAAAGACCTGTTTATATTTAATAGTAATTTGTTCCTAATTTTAACACCAGTAATAGGTTTATGAGCTTTCGGTTGGTAACATAAAACTTTAAATGCTGCTAAAGAGAATAATTCATTGTTTCTTATTTTATTGTCTCCCACAGGTTCAGAAGCTTTCTAAAAATGAAGTTTTGATGGTGAATATCGGGTCTCTTTCTAGTGGTGGATGTGTTATAGCTGTTAAAGGTGATCTAGCTAAAATACGACTAAATAGCCCTGTCTGTACTCAAGTTGATGAAAAAATCGCATTAAGCAGACGTGTTGAAAGACATTGGCGGTAAGTAGTTCAATTTTTTATTCCAGTTAGTTTTAAATAGTTTTACTGACATACGTATCACTGTACCCATCCATTTCTTTTTTTGTAGATTGATAGGATGGGGAGAAATTCGACGTGGTGTCACAATCCAACCTGTCCAGTGAATATCAACAAACTTCATTTTGCATATGATAAAGATCTATACCTGTGTACGCTGATTATTATTTTTTGTTGCCTTGTGTAACTTAGGTCATTGTCAAAACGAATGTTTCGTAACTTGGACTTAATTGTTATTTTTTCCTAGAAATCACGATTACCTATGTGTGACTATTTGTTAGTGGATTATAAATACCTTTTTGTTATAGCAAATAAGAAATTTGTCGCAGGCAACTAACATTGCCTTAATATCGTTCTTCGGTCAAGTTGAAGCGTTATTCATGTGTTTATAAAATAGTTTTTCTGGTTGCCTTTACATTTACCTACCTGTCATAGTGCTTCGTTGGGTCACATTAAATTTCGGACCACATGTCAATATCATTTGTTTCCCAAACATACATCTGTGCCCTACCAAGAGTATATCTAGGACCAGTGGAATCACTAGGCAAGCCCTAACTTGCAATCCTGAAGGGGATCGGATAAGAGTAAGGCCAAAGAACACATTACGTCGGGAAATAGAAGCAAATATGAAAAGGATTGCCCCAGGACGGTTAGATGGAGAATGCTGGTAAGCGGCATATGCTCCTTCACGAGGAGTAACGGGCGTAAGTGTGTACTGACTTGTTTAAAATAGATGGTAAATATGTTTCTAATTCAAACATTCTTTGAGCAGGCTTGACACCAAAATTCAGAATTTACCATGGGGTTTTCGATTCGTCTTTTAATGTAGAACTGGAATACGACTGCTTGAAGTTGCGAACCCATCCATGGTTCTCATTTTACTGACAATTTTCGTCACGAACTGACTTCAAATCCTATCGTGAACCACAGTACAACAGAAATGTGGTTTTTTAAGTTAGGAGGTCCTCATTAGTGAATGCTACTTCGGTACCGATGGAACTTGAGTTCCTGTCCATGTACTTGTTTTCTGATTATTCACCCACTGAAGTCAGTTTATGACGAAAACTTGGAATATAGTCTCGGTCAAATAGAACAAATTATTTGAATGGTGATTAAGTTATTACAATCAGGTACATAAAACAACATTCGGGGTATCGTAGTGACAATACTTCTTTTACTAATGTCTGTAGAATGATGTTTCCCAATCAAACAATTGTCCTATGGTATTCACTTTTATTTTGTATTTCAGCCTCCTCTTCAGATATGCGCATGTGGTTACCATCAAAAGTAAGACAAGACGTACAAATGTAGACCAGTGTTGCAAGCATTGAGATATTTTAAACATGGGTTTGTATTCTATTGTATATGCAATCCAAATATAAGTAATTTCGACAGGTCGAATTGTATGTCTCATTGAAATGTTGCTTGTCTAATTTCGATTTTCCGACTGAAATGAAGTGATGCGATCTCAATAATGAAAAGATCGAATTTTTATCATGGTATAATAATTAAAGCGAAAGTTTCGTAAACTGATCAAAACTGGGCACTGCATATGAGGTCATACTGTTCGGCTTTGCTTCATACTACTTACTTGTTTGTTAGTAGTGTAGGTTCAGACGAGGATTTTAAAGTTAATAATTGTTAACAAAGTAGTCAACATTAGGTTGCCTGTCGAAAATAGCTATCCCTTACACACAGTGCGAAGACAAGTTTTTATTTGAACTTCAACACGTATGGGTACACCTGGGTATGGAAATAAATATGCGCCAAATAAATAAGAAAACGAAGTTTTCAAGAGAAAAGGAGGGAGGCTATAACAATAAACGAAAAGATAAGTGAACGAGATTAATATATTGTGAGAGAAATAGTTTGGTTAAAATGCAACAAAAATGATCCCTTTAGTTAAGGGTGATTCTATAATTTTAATAATGAATTTAAAAGGATCCTATATGGGGGTCACTGCTGGTTTCATGCTTTTAGTCATACGTGATACCGTCTCAAGTCACTGAGTTGCGCTATTTCTCGAACAACATTCTAGGGGTTTTGACAGACCGGTTGCTGTATTTTTTATGGAATTTCTTTTAGTTCGCGGCACCATTTCATAAACTAACCTCGATGCTTTCTCCAACTAGTCCCAGCTTTGGTACATACATTACGATGTGGAAGTCGCCGGTACGACATTTGTAAAACATGTCCAAGCCACCGATTAGTGTTTAAGGATTCTGATACAAATTGAGTGTAAAACACTCCCGAACATCAGCACGAGTAACATCGTGTTGCCACTGAATGTTAGAAGTCCTTCGAAGACAACGATGGTCAAACACAGAGTCGCCTAACTCCTCAACTTATAGAGGCCAGGTTTCACAAGCATAGAGCAAAACTGACCTCAGTGACGCGTTATAATCCTGACGTTTCAGAACCAGGTTGACGTTACGACGATTCAAAATAGGGCCCAGCTTGGTATAGGTCTCTGTGGCTTTCAATACACGTATATAGATCTCATTAGTCACGCCAACCCCCAAACACTACGATTTCACAATACGTAGATTGACCACTAACATTTACATGGCTACTCAGATACACAAAGCTCTCGACAATTTCTAATGCTCACTATCAAGAGTAAGTGCAGGCACAGGTCCCTGTCATTCTTGCAAAAGTACTTTGCACTTAGAAGTTAGAAAGCACATACCATACCTACGGACACCGGTCAATGAGGATGGCATGACTTGAGTATCCTCGCACAGTAAGACAATATCATCCATATAATCAAGGTCGAAAAGCCTTCCTTAAGGTAAAAGCCCATTACAACTGTTAACTACTTCTGTAAGCTGTTACTAGAATGTTATTGATGGCAAAGATGAGAAATGGTGAGACTGGGTAACTTCGCTTGACCCTACGGCCTGAATGAAATAATCGATAGATGTTGTATCGCCTCATTCTGCGTTAGTTGCTTACGTAGAGATCATTCAAGACGTTAACAAACTTGTCAGACACACCCTACTTCAACAGACGATCCTAGAGAACAGTGTTGTCCAACAAAACTAAGGCTGGCCTGATATCAAGAAACAACGATTATTGACCTGCTATGAGTATGGAGTTGTTCTGACATTCGGTGGAGGATAAAGATTTAATCAATACATTTTCGGTCAGAACGAAAACCACCCTGGTCCTCTAGGGTTAATGTTTCCAGAGTTTTGAACAGTTAGTCCCCTGACAAGAAGGTTGCCAACATCCATAAAAACGGCAGGAGCTAAGTTATCGGGAACTGAACCAGCGAATTCCACAATGGGTCAGCTGGGCTTTTCGTCGAAGACGTTATCCGGGCTAGGTGATTTATGGCACTTTGAGAGTTTCAGTTCCTTACGAACTTCCGCCTCCTTAGACGGATGAGTCGTCATCAGCCATAAATGATAGAACAGTCTGATCAATTTCTTTAGGGCAACTGAACTGTTCCTCGAAAAACTCTGTCCATCATCCAAGTCGGTGGATGTCAGTGATTGGTATCCCAACAAATTCACAGATGCATTCGCTCACACCAGACCTATTTCTGCCAGCTTCCGGCAGTTACCAGATCCATCTACTACTTATAACTTATCAACATGCCCTAACAATCGGGCTTCTCGCTCCTTACGAGAACTTTGCACAATTTTTATACTCAAGAATCTGCGTTTAACACCAATCTCGTGGTCATTCCGAGTAGAGTGACGTGACTCAACGAGTTGTAAGGAGCCTATAAAGACCTGATTCTCATTAGCGGGGGCGTTCGGTGAAGTGGCGAGCGGCCTTGCCAGCCATTTTTATGACGCCATGCAAATTCAATCAGTGCTCATCAAGACTTTTCAGTGGGCTGATAGCTAACCTTTGACCTAGGTCGGTCCGATTCTTAGTTGTAACAGAAGCTGCAGTCAATTCGCTTACATCGATTTTTTTAGAACGATCAATCTGTTGGTCGCTGAAACGTTAGGTAGGATTAGGGCCGTCGGCGACACAATCAGAATCAAGACAACTACTGCAAATGGATAGCCAGTCTTGAACGCTACCATGTCAGTGGTAGGTGATTGCAATGTGATAAATATGAGTCCAAGTTTGGGTTGCAGAAGTATAACACCGTAACTGTCATGAAAGAACGAACATTAGGAAAGTTGAAAGCTTCAGTGCTACTTTACGAATTATTATTATTCATATTTTTATTGTATAGTTAGTAGATAATTATATTGTTACACTTCTATATTTTCCTTACTGTAAACTTCTATTCGTCCTATTGACTGTTGTTATACATTTTACGGTTTCTAAATTATTGCCAGTTGGTTATATGCTGTTTACTCCGCCCTCTAGCACTTATAGTATGGTTGTACTTGAAGCGTTTTACTTGGCGTGCTGTGTGTTTAAGCATTTTCAGAATATTATTGTATGAGTTTTTAGTCATGATGGCATTAGGTACTATCGATAACTAACCTGCGTCCTATCGTCGTCTTCTGACTAGCCATTGAGCTAGAATGGAACTCGAGGACAAATAAACGTTAAGGCTTTGGTAGCCGTTCACTAGTCGGTGTACGAATCGGTCACGGATTCGACGAGCAATATAGTAACTGATATCGATCAAGTATTATAGAGCCCAAAATCCACCATATCTTTTTTCTCAGGATACAAAACTCAATGGCTGTGCCTAAAGGTAGCTCTGAACAGAAACAGGTTGTTTTCTGGTGGTAGAACTCATCCTTGGTATGGTCCGGGTTGCAGTCTGTTGGAGAGCAGGTATAAAAAATGAAAGACATCTATTCCTATTCACGTTGATTTAGCTTTCTAATCTAACAGCATATAACCGACTAATAATGTGCATCCAATCGGTTAGTGTTGCCAATGATCTAGAGCTTAGTTCGACACCAACGCTCGGAAAACCGGACGAAAATGACAGGGTCCCAGGAGGATCACACGTAAAATAAGTCTTTATAATAGACAGATGGAGAGCAAATATGTGGTACTTTACTAGTCATGAATACTGGTCTCAGATAGACAACAGACTTTATAAAGACAGTCATATGACATAGATAGGACAGAATTTCTATCATAGGCTAGCTGTTATATGAGTTGATAAATGAAGGAATACACAAAAGGGAATAAACAAGTGACGCAATATAAATTAAAAGAGAATGTTATCGAATCGTTATGAGTATAATTGATCAGAATTAGAATTGCATCAAGCATAATTTTTCTGGGTTGTAGCTATGATCAAATTTGTGTGTGATTTAGAATATTGTCTGGGTGCCGAAACCGAAGCAGGTGGTTTCTTTAGGTGACCACTCCAGAGCCTTTGACCTAGAGATCCAATCCACAAGACAGTGGAGTGATTTTAGGGAATTAGTTCAAACAGCAGCTCCCCTAGGTGGATCTTCCGTACCGCATCGGTGGTAGCTTTCACTTTTCCATCACCGAGTAACTCAAGATCGGTTAGATAGTACAAGATTTCCATCATAGGCGACCTGTTGTGTGAGTTGGAATATAAAAGTAAATGGAGGATTGTAACAAATAAAATAGATATTTGAAGCTATGTAAAATATTTACATCAGTAATATAGTCACTGTAAATATTTTTCCCAATAAGTAACTAAACGAAGCGAATAAATCAGTTTCTTCATAATTATTCATTACCGTATTCAAGGGTGGCCTGGGATTTTGTTTAGGTGCTGAAGTTGAAGTAAGTAGCTTCCCTAGGAGGTCACTTTTCGACCCTTCAATCTAGAAGGCTGATCTGCAAGACAGTGGAGCAAGGTCCTGGTGACCAAATACAATTTCGCACAACATTGTTTTCCTCAGGGTCTTGAGGTTCATGTACGTCGTTGGTTTGGAATCAGGGTTTTCCAACTGTTCTTAGTATATCTTCCGTACCCACCAACCTAGTTTGGTCTCTGAATTCTCGCTTTTCATTCACTTTATCCTATAAACGAAACCAAGGCAATGAAAATGCAGTAAGTAGGATTTCTTTACCAATAGTTATAAACTTGTGGCTACGTGTGAACTTTTCAAGAGAGAGAAAAATCCCTCCCAATCCATTACCCTACTAGGGTACTTTTGGCTAGCGAAATCAGAAATTTTATCGACCAGGGATACAGCGAACAGCTAATTTAATGTATCTTATAGAAATCACTGCCATCATACGCACTCAGATTAAATTTGGATCATGTTACTATTATTGATTTTCCGATTTGAACTCATCGATTAAAATTCATTCTTAAGCTTACCAGTTTCAGGACATTTTCATGTAATCCCTTAATCGCCAATAAATTTTGTTGAATAAAATCATCTCTTACAAATGTAACCTAACTTACGAAAAACTGGGTTTACCTAAGTTACATTTGTAAATTCAGTTTTTGTTGCATTAAATCTGAACTCAAAGTAATAGTA